TTTGGGTAGAGAGGAAAAAATTTGCATTTTTAACCAGGTCAAAGTACCCCCCTCAACTTTGTATGCATTAAAGGCCAGAAGAGCAATGGAATCTCCAAACTTAAAAAGGAACAAATAAACAAAAGCATAACCTAAAGAAGAGTTGTCTTGCATCATAGGGGAAACTTTCCAAAAATATCTGAGATATGTGCAAAAAAAGTATTTTGAAGTTGAAGCATGTCTTCCAGGTCAGTATTTATACAAAATAGTGTAAGAGTACAGAAACCTTTTAGGCTGCAAGTTGAAATGATGAGCGTGTTTCAATGTGTTTAAGGTGCAGAGAATGTGGAGCGTGTGTTATTTACTGTGATTCAAGGAGCAGTGGATTACCCAGATCCTATTGCACAGAAGACTTGTTTTATTATTCTTTCCAAGTTGGTGGAGCTTTGGGGTAAGACTGCCTTTCCGTAACTCCTTTGCAGCTGCTGCTAGCCACGAAGCAGTAATAGAACAGGGAATTTTATTTTTCTTTTCAGGAGGTAAAGATGGACCAGTAGGTTTTGCAGACTTTGTCTACAAGCATATTGTTCCTGCATGTTTCTTAGCACCTTTGAAGCAAACGTTTGACTTGGCAGATGCCCAGACAGTATTGGTGTGTATTATGGAGGTTTTTTACTTTCATTCTTGTGGGGCAGATTCAAGCAAAGAAACCTGTAATGGCCATACAGTACTGAAGATCATTGTCTCACAAATTATGTCCCTCATATTTTTTATTGAGGTACCTGGATGATTAATTATTGAGTATTGTGGTACTTCATTAAGTAGTTCATCTATGCTCAAAATCAAGGTAGAGAATCGTACATCTGAGTATTTAACATTGAGCTGTATTACTTACTAACAGTGAAAGTGAAGGCACAGGTCACACAGGTGGCTGTTCTGCAGCTCATTTTGGGTTCAGCTGTGAGAAATCTTCCTGGTTAGAGTGGAACAAAAATTGGAAGGTTGAGCTAGCGTTGTGTGAGCAGACAGTGGGGGGAATAATGGCATGAACTTGACCTTGCGTTGGGCCTCATTAGCGTCTTTGGCTTTAAATACTTTATCAAGAGACTAATTGAACAGTCTAATGTTATGTATTGCATTGCAGGCTTTATCAGAATGTGCAGTGACGTTAAAAACAATTCATCTCAAAAGGGTAAGCTTCATAATATTTTGCAGGGATTAACTCTTACAGGTTTTTTTTCTAGTGCTTTTATCAATTTTTTTTTTTTTTCAAACTAAGATATCTACTAGGGTGAATTACTATTCTACTCTTACATAACTTAATAGGATGACCGCTACCATCCTGTATAGGGATATGGTAGTTCTACCTCTTGCTGAACTAATATTGGCACTTCATTAAGGAGAAGAATCTGCTTGCTTGCTTAACTGTGTTTAATTGATCAAGTGGCATCTTTCACTTTTCAGTGTAGGTTTTTGACATAAAAGAACAATTACAGATGTACTATAGTGTACTTCTGTGAAAACTAAAGGTATCTTTTGATGTGTAGAAGACTAGTTTGAGAAACATGGAAAAACATGGATTTTTGCCTTGTCTAAGGACTAAAACTTTATAGTATATTTCTATGTTTAATGGGAAATTCAAGCTTCTACATTTGTATTACTGTTTCCTGCTACACCTTTAAGTTGCTGATAACTTTTCTGTCAAATGCAAATAAAATTACACAACAAATGTAAGAAGTTATGAACTGGCAGAGAAGAGATTGTGTTTTAATTAAGGAGAGCTTCTGAGTTTGTTCCTTCTTCCCTGAAAGCAATGAAGAGTTAAATCTGTAGAAAATCAAGCTTTTGATAGGTGTGTGTGTGTGTGTATGTGTGTGTGTATATGTATGTATATATATATATATATATATATATATATATAGAAAATCAAAATAACTTCCTATTACAAATACTGCTTCTTTTGGCAGTGCAAATACAAATATAGGAGAATATCTTTTCTCATGTGAACTGTATACTATGTTCTAGTTCTAGGGTGACTGGTGTGAATTAATAAAGTTGATTCACTTTCCCCTGGTATTGGGGTATGTACTGAGTCATGTTAGCATACTACTAGTGTACCCTAATTCCTCTTGTGATGAGAGGTATCTGGTGAATGCAGATAAAGAAAACAAAAAGTGATGTGCTGACCAGAACAGACCTGTCGGCTTCTCTTAAATGTTTGGAAGTTCCATGTTATTACTGTTTGGTCCACTGTAGATTACACAGTTGTTACAGGAAAAGAAACATGGTGTTTGTGGTATTTGGCTACTAAATTTTGCAATGGGAGTAGTATGGTAATGCAGTTGGCAGATACTAATTGCCAATTATTTTTCCTTTCCTGTGTCAGTGAAATTAGGGCTGCTTTCTTAGCTAACTGACTTTTACAGTTGACATGTCACAAACGCACTGGCTGTATTATGTTGTAATTGTTATTTCAATGCGGTTTTCAGTCTGTTTTCTGCTATGTAACAAAAAATAGCAAATTGCAGTAGAATCTTTAATGTCACGATTGAGAAAGCTTTTTTTTTTTTCTTTGCTAACAGCTGAGAATAACATGAGCATTTGGTATTTGATATGCATAGCTTCTCTGTAAAACAGTCACTTAGACAGCCTGTTTGGAAACTCTTCTCTGTATTGTACAGTACAGGTCTGTGATTTTCCACTTTTGTACAAAAATATACCTGAGAAAATTGTGTACTGCTTTTCTTTAGGGCCCTGAGTGCATTCAGTATCTTCAGCAAGAGTATTTGCCTTCTTTGCAAGTAGCTCCCGAGATAATTCAGGTAGGAATTCTTAAAATAACATCTGGAAAACTCTTAATGATCATAAATGTTAAATGGGAGCAAAATGAGTACTGCCAAAGTTAACCTGCTACCATCCCGCAGTAAAACTTACTCTGATATTGCATATCAGAATAGGATTAATTTAGCATAAAGAGTAAAGTTAACTGCAAGAGTACCTTGGGGGAGGAGGGAAGAGGGAAATAGTCCAGTGTGTGTGACTTTCTAAGCCATCTTCCTGCTTTAATTTAAATTTGAGGAAAAAGTATCAGAATACTTGAGTAATAGCTTAAAAGTAAAATGAAGAACACTGAATGTATAGACAGTGTGGTGACAAAGGGTGTATTCAACACTACAAAAATTTAAGCCACAGCACTGGTTCTACTGTCAAAAATTATGTACAACATTAAGTATATGAGGTTTGTGTGCTTGTTTTGGAGCAGTGTTAAGAGAGTTCTCAAAAGTGAAACTTTACACCTGACCACCAACCATGAAGCGTTGCTAGCCGTATGGTAAGCATCGCCATGAGGGAACTGTTTGATGAACACTGACAATTTTAATTGCAGCTAGCTTGGATAGGTTTGCTAGTTTGGATAATGGGGTTTGCTGCATCAAGGGACAATTATACTCATTTCTAGACTTAAACTATAGAACTTTTAAGTGGCATTAAAGATATGTAAGGATCAAGTATCATCTCTTGTTGGCACCCCAGTTTTCTGATTTCACATTAGGATTTTTCCAAGTGACAGATGTTCTCCTGTAATCTAGAGTCACTTAGCATGTACATAATGCTACTTAAGCTTCAATGTTCATCTGCAGTGTTCATTTCAAAGCCACAAAAAGTTACTGGAAAAGTTAAAGGTTTAGAATCTCCTTGATTGAAGTCCTGTTTCTGTCTACTCAGCTAAAAGTGAGTATGACATCCTGTATTTGAAAATAATTTTTTAACCCCATAAAGCACTTGGCCTGTTACAGGCTTTTACAATTTCCTATCCATAACATTCTTTGGTTGCACATTAGGGAAAATACTAACTAAAACCAACTGCTTTATGTACAAGGTATTCTGTATGCTCCTAACATATTTCAGGTTGTCATGTTGCTTCATTCAGTTATTTAATATTTATTCTCTCTTACAGGAATTTTGTCAAGCACTTCAGCAGCCTGATGCTAAAGTTTTTAAAAATTACTTAAAGGTAAAGATTTTTTTTCTTTAAATAGTTTTTTAATTCCAGTTGAATGTCATTGTACAATTGAGTCATGGGAGTGACCTGAAGTAAAACTGAAACATTGAAATACTGCATTTATTCAATAGCTTTAACTATAGGGAATCTCCTAAATAGCTTGATATTCTTGTTTCTTATGTTTAATAGCTGAAATAATTAAAAAGTGATGCTATAACAGTAAGAATGTGTCAGAATGCTTCATTCGAGGGCGTAAGTGTAATTGAATAGAACAAGTTACATCCTTGAACCTAGTGTGTGTTAACCAGGATGTTAATGAAGGAAATGAGCTCTGTCAAACTAATTATCTTACACCTCAACCATTCCATGTCGTATTTCCTTTGTCTTTAAAATGTTGGGTTTTGATTCATTTTTAACAGGTATTCTTCCAGAGAGCGAAACCATAAGGAAAGTACTGGAATCTCCTGCACCTGTTTCCATAACCCAGCATTCTGGTTGTTAATTTATAAAAACACTAATTCTCGTGCCATTCAGACTGGTTTTGGTTTAAGAAAAGTTGCTTTGTGCTCACATCAGTACATACTTTAGCCTTTCGCAAAAAAAGAGAGAAATGCAAATCCCCCACCTGCGTCTCAAACATGAAGGTATGTGACAACATGGAAAAGTACCTGTATACCTACACAAACTTACTATGTATAGGATGGATTAAGCTTATGCTGTAACACACACAGCAATGAAATGACACTTATTTTTGAAATTAAATGTAAAAAAACCCTTTAGACCATAGGAATGGTTATTAAAATGTGTACATTTTTGATACAGAGTAAAATGTTTTCATAAGACATGAAATTCATTTGTTCATGTATGGTGACATGAAAATAAAACAATCAAAGTCATTCTTGTAGATAGTAATTTCATTGAAGTTGTCTTAATGATAAAATATATATATACCTCCTATAAAACAGATTGGTTTAATAAATGATTTCTTTAAAAGTAGCATCTGGTGTTATCTTTTTTATTAAAAAAATAAAATTTTATCCCATGAAACATTAAGTCTCTTTCAATCATTTTGGTTGAATCTTTGGAAGCTACAGCATCCTTAAACCATCTGGCTATTACATCTGCATAAAACCTGGCAAGTTTTTCTGATGCTTGGCTAATAAATTGTATTGCAGTCTTGCATGTGAAAGATGCTGACAGAAATAAAGAATTGCATTCACTGCAATACTTCAGTAGGATCAATGGTCTGTACAGATATTTTAGTAGAGCGTTGCTCAGTTTGCTTTAATTCCATGACGTTACAGTTTTTGTAGCTGTTTCATAGGGGCAGAAAAAGCTAGGAGTCTTCCCACACGTGGGATTTAATCCTTAAGAACTGATGTCCAGAGTAAAAAGCTGACAGACCTTTAGCAAAATCAGATGAGCATTCCTCTAGATGGTGTAGTGCTAGGTTCTTCACCCAATTTAAATGGAAAATAAATGGGAAGGTGGGTTAGAAACAGCAGCCAGGAGCAGAGTGTGGTGATGCTTTGGAGGTACTCACTGCCATTCCCTCCCTTTTCACTGAGGGAAGAAAGTAGAGAGCATTTACCTTTACTACTCTTCAATGGGACAATACCACTTATGTAAAATTTTTATTCCTGATTTTTGTACATTTAATCAAATGTTTGTTGTTCCTTGATTTGTTTTATCACAGCTGGAATGCTTAATAGTGCTTTTTGTACTCCCTAGTCTCACAATCCCCTTTCCCTGCCTTTGGTGCCACACCAGTGCTAGAGGTCCCCTGGGTCTGATACCCGTTTCATTTTCTCCTGTAGCAGTAGAAGCCTTCCATCTCTGCTGTGATGCTTTGCATATGCTGCTGTGTTCCTGCCCCTCCCCAGCTAAGGGGGCTGCACCCCTGACCACTGCTGCTGTTGCAGGGTGTTTGCTGTCAGTCTGCTTTCTGGCTTGTTTTTCTTCCCCTGCAGTTACAGCAACTTTACCACACAGAGGGAAGACCTATCCCTAGGCAGATTATGAAGCAAAGGCATTTTGGTTTTAAATTACAGTGTCACTGTAATGGAGTCACTCTCAGTTTTCATACATGATTTAGACTTTTGCCTTTAGAAGTAAGGGTAGTACTGCTGCTTTTAGTACTACATAAAAGCAGGGAAAAAGCCTACACTTACTAATTCTGTTAGTATAATTGATGGTGGTGTTTGTCTCATAGAGCATGATTTTAGCTATAGTTAAATTACACCCTAATGAGAAAAGTTTTTGAAATGGCCACTGCCAAAATCGATGGCTCTCCCTCATTCCCACTATCTCTCTGTAGCTTCCTCCTGTGCCAAATCTCATCTAACTCCATAAGTAGCTATTCAAGAAGCTGAAGTGGCAGAAACACTTCTCCCTCAAAACATGTCTGCTACAGTGGAGTCAGGTGGGAATGGATTGAAAAGAGTGCAGGAGCAAGCTGTGAGCGGCAGCCATCAACCTGGCTATCTTATAAACCTGTACCCTGCCCTTACATCTGTAAATGTAAGAGTATCCTGCAGGATGAATGGCTAGATAGCCTGGATGTTCAGAGAAACAAATTTGTTTCAGCCTGAAGAATTCAAAAACAATTGTTTGCTCTTTCCTGTGCTTTGACCCTGCTGAATCCTATTATAACCCCATTTGGCAGGCACTGTTTGCCCGTAGTGAAGCCATGGTGGCTGTCACTGATCATCTCCTTATTTTCCATGTGCCCTCGCATGGTTTCCAGGAGGATCTGTTCCATTGTCCTGCAGGGCACCAACATGGGACTGAGTGGCCTGTAGTTCCCCAGGTCTTCCTTTTTGCCCTTTTTAAAAATGGGGCTTATGTTTCCTTTTTCCAGTCACTGGGAATTTCACCAGACTGCCATGACTTCCTCGATACAAGGGATAATGGCTTAGCTGCTTCATCTACCAGTTCCCTCAGGACCTGTGAATGCATCTCATCAGGCCCCATAGACCTGTGCACCTTCAGGTTTCTTAGGTGGCCTCCTGCCACCTAATGAAGTGGGTGGTTCTTCATTCTCCAGGTCCTTGCTGTTGCCTTCTGTTACTTGGATGATGTGGCTGGAGCACTTGCCAGTGAAGACTGAGGCAAAAAAGCCATTGCGTACCTCAGCCTTATCCATATCCTGGATAACCAGGTCTCCCATTTCCTTCTGAAGAGGGCCCAAGTTGTCCCTAGTCTTCCCTTTGTCACCACTGTACCTGTCAAAAACTTTTCTTCTTTCCCTTGTCATCTCTGGCCGGATCTGTCAGAGCTTCAGGTTCAGACTGCTGAATTCGTTGAACATGAATGAGAATCCAAATACAAGAGAGGTCAGGAATACCAGTTGTTTTACTAATTTTTTGCTAATGCATTGAAAAGAAGTAGAAGGAAGCAAAGTAAAAATCTAGAGTTAAACTAATGACATTTTCCTTTTTTGTGTCAGTTTTTCCTGTTGCTATATTGAACATACTGTTTTCCTGTGACTCATGCAGCGAAACATTTTAAGGCTTGAGATGATCCTCACTGATTATCTTACAAATATACCCTAACAGAAAGGACAATTTGAATCATGTAAACTATACGAATCATCTTCATTTATGCAAGACCTAGGGAAAGCACAGGGGGTGGTAACTGCAGTGAGAACAGTGGTGGCCAGGCCCAGGGGCAGGGTGCTATTTGGAGCTGAGATACTCTAGGTCTTAAGTGAACGAAATCCTGGGGAACCTGGTCTGAAGTCAGCGCTGACCATCTCTTTGAAACAGAGACTCTGAAAGTCCCATCCATCCTGAATGAGACTATGATTTAAAATGACCAGTTCCAAAAAGCATCAACATACACTGAGCCAACAGCTTGGTTTTATTCAAAAGTGGAAGCAAGTACCTGTCCAAGATACAAAGGAAAGTTCATTGGCATTTTCCTGATGTTGAGAGGGCTTTTGCTAAAATGTGTATGGATGAGCTGATGAATGTTTCTGAAGACAGCTGCCTCATGGGTATCTACCTAATGAAAAAACAAAAGGCTTGAAAACCTAAGTACAGAGGAGAGGGTGGCAGAAATAAACCACGTAACTGCTGAGGAGCGCTGCAGTGTTTTGAAAGATGCAAGGACAGAATGCAGATATGGTGGGGAGCTATTCCCGCTGTAGTGAAGAATCATCATGAAATTAAGCTCTAATGCTAAAAAATGGGGACTATGAATTAAGCAATTACAATAACAGCATAAAATGTATCTAAGTTAGTTTATCAGTTTCACTAAGCAGAATTTGGAACAAGCTTAGTGCCCTCTAACAAGCAAACCAGTGGAAGTTTGGACTTGTGATAAAGCCTAGGAAACATGATAATAGCAATGAACAATGCCTATAAAAAAAAGGTTGTTATCTTTTACGTATCCGTTTCTCAGGAGAATAGGCTTCTAAGACTTAGGAAGATGATAATTCCAAACAGGAACTACAGAGGATCAAAAATAAAGGCTGGGTGGAGAATGGATTCAGAGAAGACCTGAGAAGAAGGACTTGGGGGTGGTGTTTGTTGAGAAATTGAACATGAGCCGGCTTCAATGTGTGTTTGCAGCCCAGAAAGCAAACCGTATCCTGGGCTGCATCAAAAGGAGCATGACCAGCAGGTCAAAGGAGGTGATCCTGCCCCTCTACTCTGCATTCATGAGACCCAACCTAAATAATGCATTCAGCTCAAGCAGGTCCAGAGGAGGCCGTGAAGATGATCAGAGGCTGGAGCACCTCTCCTATGAAGACAGGCTGAGAAATCTAGGCTTGTTCAGCCTGGAGAAGAGGATGCTCCAGGGAGACCTTAGAGCAGCTTCCAGTACCTAAAGGGAGCCCACAAGAAATCTGGAGAGTGACTTTTTACAAGGTTATGAAGTGACAGGACAAGGGGGAATGGCTTTAAACTGACAGAGGGGAGGTTTAGACTAGACATAAGAAAAAAAAAATATCTTCATTATGAGTGTGCTTGAGGCACTGGCACAGGGTGCCCAGAGAAGCTGTGGCTGCCCCATCCCTGGCAGTGTTCAAGGCCAGGTTGGATGGGGCTTGGAGCAACCTGGTTTAGTGGAAGGTGTCCCTGCCTGCCGCAGTGGGTTGGAACTGGATGAGCTTTAAGGTAATCAAACCATTCTGTGACTCTGAAAGACATTCTTGGGTGAAAAAAAAAGAAAATATTTTGACTATTTTCCCACTATAGTTCTGTTTAAATTCCATTATGCATAAATCATAAAGGTTTTCTTTCCTTACACAAGCTATACAGATCATTTACTGGAACAGCAGCATTACTGGGCAGACAAAAATGAAAGGCAACAGATAAACCGGCAAGTAATTCTGCTGTAAGACATTTAAGTAAAAAACAAATGGGAACGCGAATGTATGAAAAATGCTAAGACTTGTGAAGTTTAAAAAGGGTGAAACCGAGTAAGATTACACGGGGCGGGGAGGCATTTCTCCGGGATATCCTTTGGAAAAGCACCAGTGAGGCTCTGGGACGTTGATGCGTGGATTGACTCCACAACTCGTTAAAGTTGTAAAGTAGGTATGCTTTTTTATTCAGCGCTGAGACGCACGGGGATAATTCCTCAAAGTCATGTGTGCCTCAGTGTTGTTTCTCTCTATATTTATTCTCTAAAGTTATATATATTCATAAGGTTGCACAACACGCCTATACATATTCATGTCCTATCTCCACTTAGTATTATGAGCCAGAAGGTCCTCTGCGCCTGCGCAGTGCCCCCTCTGGTCATGGGCAGGGGTCTCAGGATGAAGTAAATGAGTCTTCCTCCTGTGGGTAGGGGTCTTCAAGATGAAGTAAATGAGTCTTCCTCTTCTTGCACTTTTCACCTTTTTAGTCTTCACGTGTGGCCTTAGAGTTTGGTCAGTGTCCCAGCCATAAATCATCTGCTTCTCCCCTTTATCAGTAGATTCAGGCGTCTGCTTTTCCTTATCAACAGGACCGGAGGTCTCTGTTCTGCTTAGCAGGCATTTACAACAGATCGTACTTTTGTTTAAGCAAGCAAATTCCCTCAACCCCCCTGTACATTGGTCAACTCTCTGCATCAAAGTGTAACTTTTAATGGTCCCCGGGCAGAGGGAAGCGCGGCCGCTCCGCCTCAGGAGGAGGCGAGGAAACGGAAGCACCGCTCCAAGCGGTTACACAGCAAAAGCCCCATCACGTAAATCCTCACCGGAACGGGGCTGAGCTCGCTTTGAACATCACAGGATCTAAAAGCCCCAGAGTGACCATGTTTAAGGAACATCCTACTTCCACTTTCCGACGTTTCCCTGTTTCGCCGTCCCCTCGCCTCAGGGCCGACGCTCCCTCATCCCCTCAGCGGGTGACCACACGGTGACTAGGCCCCTAGGCCCCGCCGCGTTCTCACCTTCGTGCGCGGAGCAGCTCAGCCCAGCCGGGAGCCGCCGGGGCGGTGCTTCTGCCGCTCCGCCTTCCCAGCGCCGCTGCAGGAAGCCGGAAGCGGCCGGGGCGCTGGGCAGGCAGGGCGAGAGGTGGCTCGGTGCGTGGGGTCGGTGGCGTGCGGGGGAGGCTGCGGCGGTGGCGGGGTGGCCGGTGGTGGTGGCGGCGCGGAGAGAACCGCGTTTCCTCACCGCCGCTGCGGGAAGCGGCTCCCTCCGCGCTGCCTCTGGGCTGAGGTGCTTTCGTTTTCCTGGGGCGGCGGCGGCGGCGAGGCCTTCCCGGGCGCTGCCGGCTCCCGAGGAGGGTCGCGGACGTCGGCGGAGCCCCCTGAGGCAGCTGCGGACCCGGCTGTACGGGCAGCCCCCCGTAGCGGCCCCCGGCCGGAGTGGACAAAGCGGGGGCCGGCCTGTGCCCTCGGCGGCATGTCTGGAGCTCGTCCCTTGCCCTGGTTCTCGATGGCTTTTAGCCTGGCGAACGTCGGCAGGTCGCGACCCGTCCAATTAGTTTTGTAATTGGAAGCGGAGGGGGGAAGCCAAGCGAAGCATATGTTTGCGGTGGTTTGTTTAAAGCGTTCCTCAGGTAGCGGTGTCGCCTTCGTGTTTGTAGAAGTTGCTAAACTTTTACTTCAGGAAGGATGTCCTGTTGTGGAGATGAGCTGCTGCACCGTGCCCTTCGCACCCCTCTGAATGCGGGGCTGGCTGGTGGCTGGGGTGGGCCTGTGGCCCCCCATAGCTTTCCAGGAGCTGCTGTCACTGACGGGAGGCGGAGGCCTCCTCCCCCGTTACGGACTGGAAACGCGAAGAGCAGTGGTGCTGAGGAGCGCTGGAGTCAGGCTCGGCGTTTGTTTTGCGGGGCTTTGCATGTCCTGCGCCATGTGCTTCAGAGCAGGACCTCGTATAGCCCAGGGCAGGGTGTCTGGGAATTGAGATACTGGCTTTTGGACTGGAAACTCCCAGGAGGAGATCAGATACAGGAAACAGGAACTTTGACGGGGGGCATTTCCTAGGCTAGGTGTCCTTTTTCCCTTAGAGTGGGCATACAGGAAGTGTAAAACCGTTGTGTTTACCAGACTCTGTGATTCTAACATAACATTTATTCAGAACCTCAGCACTTTGCCTGTCTGCTTTGGTGGCAAATGGGATTTTGTTTGTAGGCAGAAAGAGCCTTCACTTTTAACTTCTTCCTCTGCCCTACTCTCCTGGAGAACTTGCACGTTGCAGCTGTTAACAGGGCTTTGTGTGCTTATCCCACATGCCTGAGGTAGCAGCACACTTTGTATGAATTAGAAGCAGTCATTGCTTCTGCTTCAAAGACTGGGAGTTTAAAATGTCACGGTAGCAATGCAGTCTTTTTCTATTACAACTGCCCCTGCTGGTAAGTAAAGAAGTCGTATCAGCAGAGCAAGAAAAAAAAACCCAACCCAAAAAGCACCCCCCAAACCCTTGCAGTGCTAATGAGTCATGGGGGACAGTAACCCACACTGCTGGTAGGAGAGAACTAGGCAAGTGTGAAGAACTTGTGACTCATCTATGATCAGACTTAAGACCATAAATGAGATTTGAAAAAATAGAAAGTTCAGCATTAAATCTATCGACAGGACCAAACATACAGCTATATATATATATGTGTTTTAATATGAAACTTAGTGAATTGATTTAGGAAGGTAATGGAAAATATGAAATCTCGGCCAGCTGAATCAAGTCAGAATAAGCAAAGATCAGTTCTGAATCAGTCTAAGAAGGGAAATCAGAGGAGGTCTAACACCTTATGTAAGTTATTCAATCAAATTATTATAATTTGAAGACTAAAAGCTAAATGAGACTTTAAAAGTAAAAACTCTGCCGGAAGTGTAGACTTTATTATTATTATTATAAAAATACTACTTTGACAAAAAAAAAAAAGGTCATAGTGCAACACTGACTCTGGTTTGGCCCTGGATTAATACTGACATAATTATATCTATATTTTTATGAGTGAAAAACCCAGACCTTGAGAACCCATTAGTGACTTGGTGTTTTGTTGGGGTTTTTGAAATCCATTGGATGCTATTCAAGCTCATCTGTTTTGTTGTCACCCACTGAGCTTCATGCAAATTTAAAAGGGAAAGTAAAGAAAGTAAAGGGATGATCTCATACATAAACTACCTCATCTTTATCACTTCAGGCAAGGTAATAATTCAGTGTAATGGGCTGCTAAAATTTTTAGTATTTGAACACACATCAGTGAAGAAACTCTGTTTACTTGATCCTCCTGCAGGTTTCCTGTCTGCTTAGAAAGGATTCATTATGTTTCTGCATCTTGGAATGAGTTTAATGAACAGTGTGCTGAAATACATGACAAAATAGGTGCTTACTGGCAGTGTGCCAACTGGCCTGTTGCAAGCAGAGTTCTAATTATGAAGAACTTTTTAATTTGGAGATTTTGCAGGTGATTTACAGAGTGGTCTATGCATTATTTCCTTGCAGACCTCTTGCTTACCTCTGTGTCTGCATTGTAGATAACTCTTTAGCATCTATGGTAATTGCTAGCTGGGAAAATTTGAATTGTTCTACTATTGCAAATTGTCACAGTTAACTGAGAATTGTAGGGGTTTGGGATGTGCTGTTGCAGGTTTATTTGGTTCAGATTTGTGGTGAAACCTTTTTTTCCCTTCTCTATATTAAGAACTTTATCTAGATTTTGAAAATGGTGTTGCTGCATGATACTGAATATAGAGTGATGTGAGGGCTTTGCGTTGTGTTGTTGAGTTCTGTATGCAGCATGTCGTTACCTGGATGTTTTGGGACAGTTTTACAAGAAGCTCCACATCTTATTGTGTGCAAATAGCTGAATGGAAGTATGCAATCTGCAATCGCTGTGCATAGAGAAGTGTGTTCAAAGACATGAGCCAGTTCCTGTGTCTGTGCTGTGGCATGGGTGGGATCAGCAGCAGTGCAAAGGTGGGTGCTTCAGCGGGTGGCGGGAGCGGTGCTGCGTGGCTGGCCTGCAGCTTTCTCTGCTCTCCTGTAATACACGCCATGAGGCTTGTGCTGGTTTTGTCTTGTGCGCCAGGGAGCCCTCAGAAAGCACCAACCATCTTCTTGCAACAACATGCACAGGAAACTGTCATTCTGGGCTTCATTTCTTTTGGGTATCAGTTAGCTGTTTCTTATTGGTCTACACAGGCGGATGCAGGGGTCCGCTGCCAGGCTTGAGGAAAAGCTGCTGCTGTAGGACCTTACCCTGGAAGCTACATATTTGATCTTATCTTTGATATTTCACTTGATTTTATGGCAAAATCAGGTTTTTTTAATTAACCCAAAAGGAATGGCATTCACCTGGAGCTTCTACTGTTTTGACAGGGGGGGAAATTCTGGCAGTTCTAATGTTGTTTTTAATAATTTTAATTTAATCAAACATTTTTTTTCTCTTTCTTTTGAATCTGTGAAAACCTGAGCATCTGGTAGTTCACATTTCACGAAGGATGGGCAATCCAGACTCTCTTTCTAGAAAAGATGTGACATACCAAATGTGAAGTTTAGACATGGGAGGAATGTTCCTTAATTTCTTCCTGTGGTCCTAATGAGTAGCTGGAAATACTTGTGTTAACTTGTGACTTCTATCTAGCTCACGTAAAAGAGCTTTTCATAAGTAGCTAGTCTGGTTCCTTTACAGTTGTACTGAAGTACAACTTCCGGAGCCCAAGCAATCTAAATAAGTAAATGTGTGTGTGTGTATATATATAAAACAGATATATACATATGTATATATCTGCATCATCTCTAATATATATTCTTTGGCATATATACCCAATAATGGCATTGATCACAGGTGTTATTGTTTTTCAAAAGACCTTGTGCATGTGGTTTTGACTCTTTACTAGTCTGCTCTCATGATACCCCACTTGGAGTACTGTTTGCAGTTCTGGTGTCCTCAACATAAGAACATGGAGCTGTTGGAGCAAGTCCAGACGAGGGCCATGAGAACCTCCTGTGTGAAGACAGGCTGAGAGAGTTGGGGCTGTTCAGCCTGGAGAAGAGAAGGCTGCATGGAGACCTCGTAGCAGCCTTCCAGTATCTGAAGGGGGCCTATAGGGATGCTGGGGAGGGACTCTTCATCAGGGACTGTAGTGATAAGACAAGGGGTAATGGGTTTAAACTTAAAAAGGGCAAGTTCAGGTTAGATATAAGGAAGAAGTTCTTTCCTGTTAGGGTGGTGAGGCACTGGAACAGGTGGCCCAAAGAAGTGGTGAATGCTCCATCCCTGGCAGTGTTCAAGACCAGGCTGGACGAGGCCTTGGGTGATATGGTTTAGTGTGAGGTGTCCCTGCCCATGGCAGGGGGATTAGAACTTGATGATCTTAAGGTCCTTTCCAACCCTAACTACTCTATGATTCTATGATTCTACGGCAGTACTTTGATTGTTGAGCTTGGTTTTGTTTGTTTCATCTTTTATTCCTCTAGTTGGTTGTTCTTAATTGTTTCTGTATGTCTTTGGAGTTGTGGTTAAGTTGGAGTTTTGTTCCTTCTAATTAGCATAAGTCCCTTTTGTGTATTTTACGAAATTATGATTCCATGTATTTAACCTTTTGTTTTTAAGGTGAAAAAGAAAACTGTCTAATCAAAGAGCAAAGATGCAGAGCACTTTGAATTATCTCTGGCTGTTGTCTGACATCCTAGGGCAGGGAGCTACTGCAAATGTTTTCCGGGGCCGACACAAGGTTGGTGAGGAATTGCTAATCTGAGTATATATAAAACTGTTTTTTTTTTTCCCATATGAGAGTAGTATCATGAAATCAACAAAAAATATTCAAGATTTAAACCTAAAACAAATATATCTTTGCTAATATTAATTCTTAGCTTTTAATTGTTAACACTCATCCAATGAATTGAGTTCTATACAGTAATTTCTGTGGATTTGTTTCCAATATTGTACTGTTTGTCCTTGTAAAATATGAAATGTTATTAAGTATCCTATGATTCATTCCTCTGTTTTTTTGTTTTATGGAAAAAGTACTCCTCGTTTAAGAATTTAAATAGCAATGAAAGTCTTAATCAGTTTTGATTACATTACATGATATGTTGTTTTTTCTTGTTTAAATTATCTTTTCACAGTTTCCCCCTATTATTTTAAAACCCTTTTTTTGTGATTTTTATTATTTTTCAATATTCTTAATATCCTACTGGATGGAGTTGCTGTTAGTCTTTGGCCTTAAGTCAATGTTTCATACATGTCTAGAACACCATTTTCTTGGTGACATGCCATTTTTAATCAGTACAAAATAGGACATTTTTGAGGAGTTTTGCCGTGCAAATGTTATACTGATGTGTATATTGTAACCTGAGTGAGGAGCTAAAATGACCTTACTTGTGTAGGTCATTCTATTCCTATGAACTTCATGGTATAGCTCACAAAATGAAGATAAGACTAGTGAAAATAATGTTCTGTTATAGTAATGACAGTCTGTGTGAAATCAGAGTGAAGCTATATAAAAGCTACAGTGCTTTCTATGTTCCACATTTAACCATGAAGCAACACTAAGTAATAATTTAACAGTTAATGTGCTTTTCCAGGTAAGTGTATTTCCTCCCAGAATGATTCCCCTTTAAAGCTTACATTTTCATGCTTGTGCCTCTCATCAGCCTCTCTAGTCTGAGTGTGTGACCTGCAACTTGTCAGTGAGAGAAAACTTTTATCTGGGCACCAGTAGTGCATGTAAGTGTGTTGTATAACAGGAAGGCTTTGTCCTTAGCAAGCATCTGTCACCCACATGGCTGCTAATATATGCTTATTCCTAGAGTGGCTGCAGGGAGGTACTTGGCCCTAAAAGGGATTGGAACTGCATTCTCAGCTGGTGCTGTGGGTGCTTGAGCATGTTGAGGCTTAGTCCCACTTGAAAACTGAAGTTTCTGACTGAGCTCATGTCTGTACTCCTGTTACTTATTATGTGGGTTTGAATTGCTTCAGGATTTTGGTGGTAGTATGTAGTGCCTGACACTGCTTTCTTTGAAAAAATAAAATACTGCTTTATGAGCATAAACAGAACAATTAAAGAAAAAGAGCAGTGTTCAGCTTCCGAAAGTTGTCTCTTAAGCAAGCCAACATTCTCAGCTGAAGCATGTGTGTCTCATACTGATTGATGCAAGTGGCCTACCTCTTGCTGAAATTTTATTTTTCAGCGAAATTTATGTGTCATTCTTAAACGTGAAGCCCTTCTTATGCTAATTGTTCTTTGTTTTTAAAAGCACTTAGATTTTGTGGGCTAACACTGAGTTTCCATTCTGCTAGTCTGTTTGCTTCTAGTCTATGTTAGACTAAACCAGGATATATGCAGGTGTTTTTTTTAGTACAATCTTAATTTTCACCTTACGTAAAATGCTATTTTGAACTATTTGTAATCTGGGCATGCTCATATTCACAACAGAGGATCTCAAAATGCTTGGATAATGGCATATATACATTTACAGACTTATGCTTCTGTTTAATTAGTAATTTGTTTGTTTTTAACAGAAAACTGGGGATTTATATGCTGTCAAAGTTTTTAACAGTCTGAGTTTCCTTCGTCCTGTGGATGTTCAGATGCGAGAGTTTGAAGTGTTGAAGAAACTAAATCATAAGAACATTGTCAAGCTGTTTGCCATTGAAGAAGAGGTAATGAATTGTTGTTACGATCTGATGTGCGTGGGAGTAACTGCGGTAACTGTCTTTTTTCTTTATGCTTAACTATAGAGGATAAAGTTACATTTTTAAAGAATGGTAACCTATATGATGATGTAAGTACTCTGACCCAATCACCACTGGTTTTTGTTTTTCTTTTTTTGTTGTTATTGGAAGAATATGCTTGCACAGATTATGGTTCTTCAAAGCTATCTCGAGAAGCCATTGTCCTAAGCTTGAATAAGGATTTTTAAGCTATCTACATGTATGAATATTTAATACATACTGATAGTGGGAGGTGTGTCAGTAATTCTGATAATTTGATGCTTTTGCTTTGCAACCAGCTGAAATAATGACATAGGACATGTAGAGCTGTATGTTAGTATGGATTGCAGTTGTGCTGAGAATGAGACTGGTCAGCTGAAATGACCCAGATGCTGAGATTAGTAAAGAGGAAAGCAGGACAATTGCTGCTCTCTGCTCTTCTGTGTTGTAGTTCTTCATTAGTCCAGCTATCAATACTGCAGTCAACCCTCTAAGTACCTAGAACTCGAGGCTTTCTTAAATTTTTCCGCCATCTCCAGGTCAAAATACATGAAACAATATAAATAAATAACCTACACTTCTTTTGAAGATCTCCAGAATGGGATTTGCTATCTAGTTACAGATTTTCTTTTATATTTTTTTAACTAAGATCCTGTGGTTATATATATTTTCTGACATTGTTTTCACAATGGTCACAGGCTTACCCTCTTAATTTTATTTTTTCAGACAACAACTAGACACAAAGTACTAGTTATGGAATTTTGTCCGTGCGGGAGTTTATACACAGTTTTAGAGGAGCCCTCTAATGCCTTTGGTTTGCCAGAGTCTGAGTTCTTAATCGTTTTGAGAGACGTGGGTATGTAGACTTTGTTCTTTGCTCTTTTTTTTCTAATTTATTGACTGAAACAAAGTCATACCTGTGTGTTTATCTTGAAATGGCAAGAGATGAGCAATTTGAATGACTGTCAACTAACTGAGCAAATGAATATGGTCATACAGAGTCACATCTTTTGCTTATGTGTAGATGATATAGATAGCTGCATTAAGATGACATTGCTGTTTAAAGCATTGCTATAATTCTTTGTTTATTTCAGGATTATTTGTCACATGTTAGACTGATGCCCAGTGACAATCTCAGAAGAGTCAATTAGAAAAATAATGAGGCTTATCTGTGTCTGCCTGTTACAGAATTTTTGTTTGTTACTTTAATGGTAAGATGTTGCTGAGCAGGAGATACTATAATTTAGCTGCTTGGAAAAAAAAGAAAGTAAAAATGTTTCGGATATTCTCTGGTCCTGCTCTTTTTGTTAATTGAATGTCCCTTCTTATGTCCATTTCCCAGTGAGAAAGTAAAAATGTATGTCTTCATAGCCTCAGTTACAATTCAGTGCTTATGCAGTTTGTGTCAAGATGTATACATAAATTCTGTATTATCTTTTTTTTTCTTTTTAATGGAAGTGGCTGGCATGAATCATCTCCGGGAGAATGGAATAGTGCATCGTGACATCAAACCAGGCAACATAATGCGTGTTATTGGTGAAGATGGTCAGTCTGTTTACAAACTGACAGACTTCGGTGCTGCAAGAGAACTTGAAGATGATGAACAATTTGTTTCTCTCTATGGCACAGAAGAATATTTAGTAAGCTCATATGATTTCACTTTCTCTTGAACTGTTTGAAGCCCAGGGCAGTTTGTGATGAGAGTTGAGTAGGTGAAGGTTGGACTGTTTGGAATTATTTTTACAACTTTAAACCTTTTTCATGTTAGGTCATGCCAGGTCTTCCACTGATCTGACAACACTAGCCTTTAAATAATTTCCAGGTCCAGCCTCCATTGCTGCCTTCTGTGAGAGGAAGAACAACAGTATTTTAGTAATGAATGTCTTTGCCTTTATCTCTGTAGATATTTTTCAGTTTTTGTTTGAGCTCTTGTGTGATGTTAAGTGTAGTTAAGATTCACTTGATGCCTTAGTTAACTGAAGAGAGGCAGGCAGAGATGCATCAATATAAGCATCTTAGGCAGTTTTCTTCCTGCCATGTTTTCCCACATGCAGTATCGTAACTGATATTCTCCTCTGCTATGGATCTTTTTCTAGTTTGGTTTCTTTTGTTTCAAAGTCATCTGGAGGAATACTGGCTTTCACCTCTTTTTTTTTTTTTTTTTTGTGGTGTTTTATTCTAATAGTCAGCATTTAGCTAAAATTTTATATATTTTTGTAGACCTTTAATGAAAGTAGTTATTATACCTAGGAACACTTTTGTGATACCCTGTCAGAATCATTTAAGCAAATTCGTTGATACAGGATAACCTTGCTATTTGATTAAAGATCTGAAAGTTTAGAATGACAACTTACCTTGCTGTGAAATGGTAGATTAGGGTATTATTCTTTGTATTGTTCATAAGCAATTCCAACTTCTTTTTTTTTCCTGCTTTTTTTTGTCTTTAGCATCCTGACATGTACGAGCGAGCCGTTTTGAGGAAAGAGCATCAGAAAAAGTACAGAGCAACAGTTGATCTGTGGAGCATAGGGGTGACCTTTTACCATGCTGCGACAGGGAGTTTGCCTTTCCGACCCTTTGAAGGACCTCGTAGAAACAAGGAAGTGATGTAGGTAATTTAGAAGGAGAATTTTATCTGTTTGTAAAATAAGTCAGTCCATGACATGCTTTTTCTCAAAAATCCTATGCACATGTAGTAAACATTAAAATAGTTAAAATATTTAGGGAAAAACATTCTTTAACTTTGTGGTTTAACCCCACTAGGTAGCTAAGCATCAAACAGCTGCTTGCCCACTCCCCTGCAGTGGGATGGGGGAGAGAACTGGAAGGGTAAAAGTGTGAAAACTCATGGGTTGAGATAAGTTTAATAAGAAAACAAAAACCACTAAGAAACAAAAACACACACAAAAAAACCAACAAGTGCAAGCCCCCCCCCCCCTACCCCCCAAACTGAAAGGAAAACACAACCCAGAAAAACAAATGGTGCAAAAAATCCCCTGTTCCTCACCGTCAGCCAACTGACGTCGCTTCAGTCACTGACAACTGCCATCCTGGAAATTCCCCACCCCAGCTTTTATTGCTGAGCATAATGTAATATGATAGAGCATATCCCTTGGGGTCAGCTTCCAGTACGTCCTTCCAACTTCTTGCCTGCCCCTAGCCTACTCACTGATGGGTAGTGTGAGAAGTAGAAAAGGCCTTGATGCTGTGTAAGCACTGCCCAGCAGTGGCTAAAACACCGCTGTGTTATCAGCACTGTCTTGGTCAAATCCAAAACACAGCACTGTGTGAGCTGCAATGAAGAAAATTAACCCTGTCCCAGCCAAAACCAGTACAAACATTCTGCTTCAACAAGGATTTTATTGTATTGCACTTTAAAACCTGAGTTAAGCATCAGAGCTCCACCAAAATACTGATGTTTTTCCACATACCTTTCTTTCACTATGGTACTGGGCTGGTCTGTTGCACTGTGGTATATATCACTTGGATATTCAGGCAAAATCAGGACATTTTTAGACAGATTTCCAGTACTGCAAGTTTTTGTTGTCTTTTAAGTGATTGTCTTTCCAGGCAGTCTTGAAATGCATGCACTATGCATGAGATTTAAGTTTTTTGAGTAGCATGGCTGTTGACAGTGGCTGAAGATAACAAGAACAGCTCCTGACTGTGAAATTGAAGTGGTGTGTATGCTGTGCTGTTTGGAATTGGTTCCTGTTTTGCCTTAGTCTAGTTCTATTTTGTTGTTCTGTGTCTTGCATTTAAAAAATAAAGCAGGGTGGTACTTGGGACCTCTCATAGGCCAGTAACATTTCCGTCCTGGTACTGCTTGCAAAGCTGACTTCAATTTTCTTCCTTTAAGGAACTGCCCATCTTGTGATTGTCTCACAGGTGTTGTTGTTGTATCTACTTGAGAGATAAGCCAAGAAAATGTAGTTTGTATGTGCCTTGTCCTCTAAAAAGAGAAAGCACAACTGAAATTTTCTATTGCAAGAAGCCTATTGCTCCTGATTTGTTTAATGAGAAATTTGAGAAATAGTAGCCTGGTCAGTACAGAGTTAGACAATGCTGAATTGTATGCCAGTTGCTAAATGTTTCCAAGTTAAAGTAATTCCTCCGAGTCCCTCTCCTGTTCCTTCTTTATCCCCAAGTGACTTTGTGTGGCTAAATGTCATCTCTTGCCATGGAATATGTTAGAAGTTAGTCATGTAAATGCTTAATTTGAACAGCCTTGGAAATCTGACTTGTAGAAAAGAAAAAAAAAATCAGCTTCCTTCAGTGATTCCTGAAATCTCTCCTCAGTTTTTCCCAAACTTAAGTAGACAAAGATGTTTCTCCACACAGCCCAAAGTGTTTAATCGTCATTGTTTACTGTTTTAGCTCCACTCTGTCAGCTTCTAAGTAAAGCTTCCCAGTTATTGCACCACCTACAAATTTAGGCCAGCCCATTATTTCTGTTTATATTATTAATGCCTTTTGAGGATCAGTTACCATACCTATGTACGTGTAAGAGGTAGTAGTTGATGTCTGTATTATTTTTATAATGTATCACAGGTACAAGATAATCACTGAAAAGCCTTCTGGTGCTATTTCTGGAGTACAGAAAGCAGAAAATGGACCAATTGAGTGGAGGCGGGAGATGCCTGTTTCTTGTAGTCTTTCGAAGTAAGTTTGAACTTCTCACAAAATGTTTCAACACTACTTGATTGGGTTTTTCCAATTCTTCTCTGAGGATTGCATCTTTGGAACAGAGATCTGACTGCTGCAGTTGCTTTCTTTGAACTCTTCAGTAGGTCAGTACAGTCTACTTTTAGGTTATCAAGTGTTTTTTCTTCCCATCCATCCAAGTAGTTTCATGGTTGCTAATTGACAAATGGGCACCTGAGAATCTGAAGTGGTGTGAGTAGAAGAAAGATTATAACTCTGTTTTCTCCACCCTCAGGAAAGAGTATGAAGATTCATTCGTCCAAGAATGTGACTTTAGACGTTACAAAGATTAGGCAGTAGGAAGGAAATGATAAGAAAAGACAGTTCAGAGACTTGCATTTTTGCCATGGAGGGGAAAAAAAACATCACATCAACACATTTTAACATCTTCTCATAGCATCTTCTACATTTTTTTTATCATCATAAGTTTGCTTCATGTGTCGTAATCCTCAGTAGGAAGAGCCATGGAGGATCTAAGATCTCAATAGGATGTTAAAAACACCTCCCATAGCCCATTTACCCATTTATCTTCCTGAGACTTCCTCAGTATTTTAAAGTTACTGCTCTTACATGGTAAGGGAGAAAGAAATTGTTCTGTGAACAGATTCTAGAAACAACTGTTTCGAAAGCCAAATATGGGGATTCATAAGGGGTGTAGAGTGAAAGTCTGGTTTATATCCCTGTATTAGTTTATAGTGTGCAGAACTTGCAATTTATATGTATTTTTCATGATAATGCTCAGTTGTTTCCTTTTCTTATTACATATAATTGAAGTGCTTGAAATAATAAAGGAAGCAGACTTTATTAAACATGTGTTCACACTAATATTTTCAAGTAATATTTGAACAGTATTTACTGTTATACATTTAGTACTAAAGTGAGTTTGAGTACAGCATCCACTGACCTGTAATGGGGCTGTCTGTCAAACCGTTTTAAAGCAAGCTCCAGTGGCTTATAAGCACACTGACAGCCCCATTAGAGGTGTGCATAATGTTAAAACTTTGAAGAAGTTGTTCATGATAACACAGGAGTGGGATCCAGAAAGTTTCTTGCAATTTAGATTTACATTCGTGAGACAAGTAAAATGAAGTGTTGCAATTGCTTATAAGGTAAAAAGATCCAAGTAGATCCAAGTTGTCTTACGTCTTCCTGATGTCCTCTAGGGGTCTGCAAGTACTGCTCACACCTGTCCTCGTGAACATTCTTGAAGCAGACCAGGAAAAATGCTGGGGGTTTGACCAGTTCTTTGCAGAGACGAGTGACATACTGCACCGAATGATAATCCACGTCTTTTCACTACAGCAGATGACCTTGCACAAAGTTTATATTCACAGCTATAATACGTAAGTGTTCTTGTTCTCTGTTTTCATTGCTGTGTTTTCCTTCAGGCAAATTGTACTGCGAGCTCAGATCACCACTGTTACAAATCCAGTAGCCTTCCCTTGGCAGTTTATCTGAGGAAGCTTGTAATTCTCCTCTGCAATCCCAGTGCATAGAAGCCTTTTGAACAAAAATAAAAATAAAATCAGTAAAGGTCAAATCAGTTGATCTTAAACTTGGTCTTCATCAGTGACACAGACTTAATCCTTGATGTGTTACAGTGTATGTTCTTAATGGATGCCAACTCATCCCACATTTGTGTACCTTACTTACTGACAAGGTAGTTTTCCAGAGACTTGTGTTTAGCTCTCTCTTTTCTTATCTTGTCCTCAAGAATACAGAAGGTGCACATCAACTGTGTCTGACATAAAAACCTTTTATAGGGGCTCTGAAGTTGTAATTGATACAATTTAGGATCCTAAGTTATATGGAGTTCACTTTATGGTCATCGAGTGCTGATGTTAAAAACGATAAAGTCTGGTTTACAGTTTGGTACAAAAATGAGTGTCTTTTCTCTGCCATACTTCAGATAATACAGAGGATGTGTCATTCGCTGATATGTGAACAGTTATTTCATAAAATGTGTAAATACAATTCTGGCCTTTTTCAATTTTTCTACTGTGTCATTTTTATTTTGAAAGAGGCCAAATGCTATTTTTGCAGAGAAATCTTGCCTGGAGCTCAAACTGCTATTTGTACTTTATTTTTTAACATTTATTTTATTATTATTTACATTCACGATGATTTATATACTAGCTGTAGTATTAATAAGAGCTAGTGTGCTAGTGCTGCACAGAAGGAATATTTGTCCTTCATGTTAGTGTGCTTAAGGTTTTTCATTTGTGGGAGGTTTTGTTTGTTGGGTGGTTTGGGTTTTCTTCTTTTGGAGATGTGGGGGAAGGAGAGGTTTGTTATAAATTATTATGCTTAGTATCTATTGACTGCTGGTAATAAAACACCAGAGTGTCTTTGGTCTTCCTTCTCACTCCTGTTTTGGAGATAATCTGGCTGTCAGTTTACAGGCCGAATTTAAGGTGTGTGCTTTTTGACATGTAAAACACCAGAATTTTTCTTGGAGAAACCATCCATCTCCTTTGAAGAAATGCACATGCCTGAGGAAACAAAAGTACGCTTCCTTTCTCTCATCTGGTGCTGCCCCGGCCAAAGCAAGTTTGTTTACACAGACACGCTTTGGTGAAAAATCAGAGGTAGAATGGGAAGCTTGATATTTTGCAGGAAATAGTATTTGTTTTTGTAACAGAGCAAGCTTGGGCAGCATGCTGCTTTTTGTTCTGCTTCTAAGTCAAATGTTTTATGTGTACAACTAGTTCTTAATCAGAAGTAAAAGAGACATTTATCTAAGTAATGCAAAATCTGAATTATTGAACTGTTGCAGTGAGTCTAACTACTACTGAATGTATTGTTTGTATTATAGAGCTACTATATTTCATGATTTGGTCTACAAACAAACAAAAATACCATCTCAGAATCAAGAACTGATATATGAAGGTCGGCGTTTAATACTGGAGCCTAGCAGATTGGCACAGCACTTCCCCAGAACAACTGAAGAGAATCCTATCTTTGTAGTAAGCAGGGAACCTGTGAACATTGTCGGATTAATCTATGAAGAAGGTATATGAAAGCCATTTCCCCTTTCTTATCTTCTGTAAATAGACTGAGTTATTTAATTACTGTTTTATGGCTGTTACATCTTAGAAATAGTGTTTGAAAGTTTTCTCTTTTGATACCTGAAGTTCTAAGAATGCACTTGTTCCCCCTATACCACCCCCCTTTTTTTTTAATTCCCCAAAAATGCTGAATATCTGGCATGTTTGTTCCTAGTGCTGGGTACCTGAGCATCCTTGTGTTAAGTGGGGCCTGTGGAGTACTGAAATATGTTTAAGCATGACACTTTTAATAAGTAGAAAGGAAGACTGTAGAATGTAATTCAAAGCTGGTTCTTTTGTTCCATTACTCAGTAAGTGGAAATTCAGGTTTTGACTTCTTAATGTCATGAGCGTGGTTAGCCTTTCAGTTAATAGGAGGTCTTAACACCTTACCTTTGCTTGGAACATAAGGTAATGCCGTAACAGAAAAAAGAAGAAAGTAAGTTTTTGCATTTATCTTTGAGAGGCTTATAGAGGGCCCTGTGCCAGACCTTTTTTGTGTAAGAGATGAGCTGGGGGCTATGTCTACACTTGAGAAGTCACTAGTGCTTTTGTCAGTGTGTCCTACGTACTGACTGCTCTACCCAGCTGGCACTCACACAGAGGTGCTGAAGAGGCTGGGTAGGTGAGCTGTTTGTGGGAGGATCAACAGCACCTTTGTATTGTGTCAGAGCTTTCTAAAGGAGTCAGCGAGTGTGAGAACAAAGTAGATTCAGCTGATAGAGGCTACCCTAGATTTTAAAAAGCCATTTGCTGAAGTTCTGCCCGTAAGAGCCTCAGTGAAACTAAGTATAAGATAAGAGGGAATAGTCTCCCACGTAGGCAAACATAGGGCTGAAGAACAGAAATAAGTGATTGGTTTTCTCAGTGGAGAGACACCAATAGTGGAGACCTATATGAAATCTGTGCTGTGAAGCATGTTCAAAAGCGAGTCTGGAAAAGGAAGTCAACAAGTTTGCTGAAGATACCAAGTCACTTACAGTGCTTAAGACAAAGGCTGGTTTTAAAGGTGTGTATGAGAACCACGTTAAATTGAAAGGCAGTAACAGATTAGATGAAAATCTGTGTTGATACATGTAAAAACCAGTGCACAGCATGGGGAAAGGAAACATTTCTGAAGTCTCCTATGGAAAATAATAAAATGAAGATGTTTGTTTTGTGTTTCAGTTTTACTCCCTAAAGTACATCAACGTTATGATTTGGATGGGGATGCCAGTATGGCTAAAGTGAGTAATTACGACTTTTAATTTATAGATCTGCCTCACATAATCATACTGAAATGAAAGCTACTTGATTTTCAGATGAATAATGTTAATGTTAAAAAGAGTTTTAACATGCTAGTGAGGTTTCTGATTGACAGAAGAGTATTTATTAACAAAAGCTCCAAAAGTATATTAAAGCCATACTTTGTATACAAAACGTTTGTATATTAGAAAACAAACAAAAACCAAAAAAAGAGGCTTCTAAAGTCCAAGTGCTCTGTTACTGCATAATTCAGTGCTTGCAGGGGAAGGAGATGGTCACTTCGGAGTTCTGAAGTTAGCTAGAGGACTCATAACATCCTGTCGTGGTGCAAAACTTTATATAAGGAAAATAACTTTCCTCTTTTGATAGAGGGGTCTCTAGGACTCTGCAGAGTGGAATTTCTTTTGCCTTTTGTAAATTTTCAGAATCTGGGAGATAGGTAGAAGTTGTTTCATCCTTTTGGTCACTTTTCTAGAACTACTTTATGGATGCATTGCCATGCTTTGTCTTTGTGGCCACCATTTATGCTATGCCTATAAAATACTGGCTGCTGGCAAGCCTTGTATTCAGGCATGGTAGTCCTGAAAGCATATGACTCTTTGAACACCAGGAGTCTTTAAAATTAATGAAGAGAAAGCCATCAGTTTATATTAATGAATTAAAATATTGTAAGTTATAATTTCTGAAACTTTGTTCACAATTCTAAGTAAATCAGCAAATTTGTAAGTGGAATTAGGTGAATGAAGAGTCCCTAGCCTTAGAATTTAAAAATATGCCATTTTTACGAGTCTCTTTTAATGCATGTGTTTAATTCCTAAACTACTGAAGAAATGTACTTGTGACTTTCCAGAAATTAAAGTAAATCCTAAGAGTAAGTGGTGTCATTTTTGTTTATAGAGACTTATTTTCATCCCTAATAATGATTAATTGGTTTGGAACAATTGTGAAGAGAATGCCAGATTAGTACTAATGTTTGTGTTTTCCACCAGGCAGTAACAGGTATCGTCTGTTATGCCTGTAGAGTTGCCACTTCCTTGCTGCTTTACCAGGAGCTGATGCGAAAAGGAGTACGATGGCTAATGTAAGCAACTGATGGGATTTCATTGTACTTGTTTCTTTTTTAAAAAAATTGAGATATGCCTTTATAATCAAACCATAATTCTCTGATCTCCCAGTGTCTTGGGAAGTTTTCTTTACTCCTTGAATATTAATAGGTTTTCTGACTTATTTCCTTCTTTCTGTCATTGAGGAAACAAAAATCATTTTTTTGGCAATGAGGTTTAGGTATTTGCAGTTTTGCTTTCTTTTGTAAATAATTTAAGTCTAATCTCTGGTAACATGGAGGTACAGTTCAGCATCTTACACAGGATAGTTTTATAGGAGGATTATACTAATGCATCTCTAACTGATAGGAATTCTTACTAGCAGTTACTGCTGTAGGTATATTGTATTGCTGATTACTGGTAAGATGGCAGTTGAATGCTTTCCCTACAGACTATTGCTTCCCTTTTTAGTGAAATAATCAAGGATGATTACAATGAAATGGTTCACAAAAAGACAGAGGTTGTCATCAGGCTGGATTTCTGCAGCAGAAACATTGAGAAAGCTGAGAAAATGTAAGTAGAAGCACTATACTGAATGCATTGATTTTTCAGTATCTTTAATGACAGTGGTATTAAGTTATGTTTATTTTCAGGGGTTTTGTGTATAAAAATAAGTTTGAATCAGCATGGATTTGCTGATGGCATTGACTTAAGCAGATTCAGTATTATGTGCAAATTAGAGTGTTTATTTTGTGGCTTAACCTAATGGGAGCAAATAATTATTACTAAGAAGTAATTGTATGTGTTCTTTTTCTTATTTCTTCTCTGACTTAGCTCATCTGCTGTTGTTGACTTCAGAAGCTATAGTAAAGCCTGGAAAAAGCTACTCAATTCTTTCCTTTAATTAGTCTTTTAGTGCCTTTGTCACTGGGGTTGCTTGTGTGTGTTTATTAAGGATGACTGTTAAATACTGCCCCTTTCACAGATTTAAGACGGTAGCATTTTCTGCATGGAAGAATTTTAGTGTTGAAATGCAACATAGAGCAGCTGAACAAAAAAAAAACCCAAAACCCAACAACAAAACAAAACAACCCAACCATCCAACAAAAGTAAAAAATCAAAACCCACAAAACAAACCCACCAAAAACCCACAAAACCACCAAAAAACAAAGCTACATTAGGACGTCACTACATCAGTGATATCAGTATCACCATGGGATACTGCACATAGGGATACCAGAGGTAAACTGCACAGGAAATAATACTTCTATCATTGTTTTAAGTGCCTGGCTGTTATATTATTTTTGTTTATCTTGGTTAATTCAGAGGGCAGAGGTCTGTATCACAGAATCTCACTGTTGTACATATGGACCCATTTAGTTCATTACAGCAGAAAGTTTATTAGAGCACTTTAAAACTGGAAAAAAAAATAGGGAGGAACTGAAGAATTATTACTTTTTAGAACAGAAGACTTCCAGGTTTCAAAGACCACAGAAGACACTTATTTCTCTTGTTTTCTGTTTCAAGTAAACAGATGCTTTCCAGTGGTCAGACTCTTCTGCCCTACCTCTTTTCACTCAAGGCAGTCTGTAGGAGAAGAGATTGCACCATCAAATGCATCCTCCAATTTCATTTATTCTGTCTCATGATCTTTGTTTCATCTCCAAGTCCGATGCCCAGTTCTCAAATTCTTTTCCACTTTTAAAGTGCCTTTTCAGTGTCCTGTTCAGTCTTCCCATAAACTATCATTGGCTCCATCTTTATGGAGGAGATTAAGGTGTGTTATTCTTACACAGTCTGATACAGACTCTTCATGGGATTCTTCTGTGGTATTTGTTTTCCTGTTCAACTTACTGCCAGGATCCCCCAAATGGTGTCTTGGTCATGGGATTCTCTAAACTTGCTTCCAGGCTGCTCTGAAAATGCGCATGTCCACAAGACAATTGATGCATACATGTTGGAACCATTGCATTTGCAGAATAGACTTAAGAATAGATTTAGGCCATGTTGGAGCTGCAGTGCATTGCAAAATGAACATCTTGTATGTAGTAATTGTAGATACCCAAGGATTTGTCAGATTTGCTGTGTGCATGCCAAACATGTACAAAATGACACACCTGGGCTCAAAGAGATTTCCTTAAAAAAAAAATACCCCAAAACAACCAACCAGTGAAATTAGCAAAGTTGATAACTAGCAAGATAATAGCTCTGTAGCCTAGTTACAGATCATCAGGGCTGTGATCCCAACTCTTCTTGAAGCCAGTTAGTTGACATGACTGGTTCTTGTTCACTCTCTGGTTCAGATAGCTTCTTCATGCTTTCTGCCAGGTCCCCATAGAAGAAAGCCACTGAGAGCTCAGAAGAAACTGCTGTAGGTTCTGATTTGTGACTTTAGTGCATTCAGCAGTATCCCAGAGAATCATAGAATCACACAACAGTTGGGGTTGGAAAGGACCTTAAGATCATCAGGTTCCAACCCCCCTGCCATGGGCAGGGACACCTCACACTAAACTATGCCACCCAAGGCTCTCTCCAACCTGGCCTTGAACACTGACAGGAATGGAGCATTCACAGCTTCCCTGGGTAATCCATTCCAGTGCCTCACCATCCTAACAAGAAAGAATTCCTTCCTTATATCCAATCTAAACTTCCCCTGTTTAAGTTTTAACCCATTACCCCTTGTCCTGTCACTACAGTCCCTAATGAAGAGTCCCTCCCCAGCATCTTTGTAGGCCTCCTTCAGATACTGGAAGGCTGCTATGAGGTCTCCACGCAGCCTTCTCTTCTCCAGGCTGAGCAGCCCCAACTTTCTCAGCCTCTCTTCATACAGGAGGTGCTCCAGTCCCCTGATCATCCTTGTGGCCCTCCTCTGGACTTGCTCCAACAGCTCCATCTCCTTTTTATGTTGAAGACACCAGAACTGCACACACTGCTCCAAGTGAGGTCTCACAAGAGCAGAGGAGAGGGGCAGGATCACCTCCTTTGACCTGCAGGAGCAGCAATTTGAAAAAAAAAATAAAATATGGTCACTTGTGAACTGGAGCAGTTCTTATTTTCACAGGAATTTGCTATGTGTTTGCATGTGGTCTTTCAGCCTCTTACGGAGAGACAGGATGTTCAGTTTATTTGACTTCAGAAGGCTTATATGGAGTTAGCAAAGCTCCTCTTGTTTGTCCTCCCTTTTTAAGGCTATGCTTCAAAGTATGACAATGCAAAGCTTTTATTTGAAAAGGTGAACGAAGTATTGAACTTGAGCAAAGTGTGTATTTTCTGGAAGCAGCTGAGCTGGTTTTGATGGTGTTTTTAAAAACAAAATGTACCTGACACTCAACAGGAAAAATATTGTCCTGAATGATTTATTTGGCACTTGAGATAGTCATATGGAAAGTATCAGTATGAGCAGATGGTGCTGCTAACCCAGCCTCAACGTTTTGGTAACTCAGCCTTTCCAATAAGTTTCCACAGAAGTGCATTTTGGTGCACTGGAGTATTTGTTGTGTGTCATTGATTACTTTCGTTTGGTAACCTTTTAAAAATTATTTGATGAGAGGAAATAGTTTTACCCTGCCTGCTGAGTAGAAGTAATGAATAAGGAAGTCAAGAATGGAAGCTTGAAACTAAAAAGCAGTTCAAATGTAGGAAAAAAAAGAAGGATTTTTTTTTTCATAACTAAAATATTTTCATTATTAGTGGCCATTTAATGTTGTCAGTGTTTCATGGTTCCTGCTTGACAGACACTGTATTTCATATAAAAAAATAGTTATTGTTACACTAGATTCAAGAAATGTTTTGAGTGTATTCACTGCTTGTTTTTAACTGTGCATTTTTTGTGGCCAGATACGAGAATCTGATGCAGATCAACTTGGAAGCATCGGAAGTGGATGAAATTTCAGAGATCCAGACAAAACTGTTGCGTGTGAGTATCTTACAAAACCTATGTCATTCTCAAAATGATGTTTCTAAAGAAAAAGCCAAATACACGGTGTTTTCTGTGAGTAACAGAAATGCCAACATCAGAGATGATTCTTACTTTAATAATACCATGCTTTCGCTACTTTTAGCAAAGCCTAGACAGATAATGGGCATATTTCTTCAATTAGTGTCAGTGAAGTAAATGGGTCTATAGCATTAATGTGCTCAGTTTGTTTTCCGCCTCAAGGAATTTTTCACTTTACCCAGTGGTAATACTGAACTTTCTTGCTCTTACATAGCTCTCCAGCTCTCAGGGCACACTAGAAACTAGTCTTCAAGATATCAAAACCAAACTTTCTCCAGGTGGTTTACTGACTGACACCTGGGCAAATCAGGAAGGCATGCATCCAAAAGACAGAAAGTGAGTAAATTGTTTAAATATGTATTGAATTTTACATTGAGTCACAGTTCTTAAAACTCATCAATACATACTTAAGTTTATGTATAAAAGATCTCATTTTCTTCCTTTTGTCACTCTAGTCCAGAAAGGCTGCAGGCGCTGCTGCGTTCCATCACAGATATTTATTATCAGTTCAAAAAAGACAAAACAGAACGAAGTAAGTAACTTCTTTGATTCACTTTTAACATAAACTGTAACATAAAGGACAGGTTAGTCCTTGTTCCACTAGGAAATTAGGAATCGAGGGTCAGTCAGCAACAGTGAACATGTTTGTACATCTTTCTCAGTAAGACACCATCTTAAAGCCCATATGAATGAATCACCACTATTAATCTCATAAATTTGAATTGCACTTAGTGGAGTTTTACATAAATAGAACTAATAGAATTAAACTGGTAATGTCTGTCATCTGCTTTGATCCTAGGGCTTTCTTATAATGAAGAACAAATTCACAAATTTGACAAGTAAGTTTTGAAGTTACCTTTGGTAAATAGCATGATTGCTTTCAGGTCCTTCAGGTGCTCTTGCCAATAACCTGTTGTAAATTATAACCTCTTCAGAATTGCTTTGTGAAAAATTGCCTTTAAATATCTTAAATACATGGGACTGACAGCATGAGGTGCTTTCTGACAGTGGAGTTTCATCCCTGATAGACCTTCTAAATGTAGATGTGAAATACCTACATACCTATGAGATACCTGTTCATTTTCTAGGCATAACTGTCTTCCAGGAGATATATTTTTTCCCCTGTTTTTTAGGGAGGAATAAGCCCTCAGTAAGAGTGAAGTGACTTCATGACTGAAGATAATTTTCTACAGGTGAATGAAATATGGGCTAGCTGAATGAAATTCTAGAACAATTTAATCTTCCAGGAAGTATAGCAAGCAAAATAAATTTTAATGCAGTTCTCCATGCCTGTATAAAATTGTCACTTGAGAGGTGGCCACATGAAGTGTCTGTATGTAACTTGGATGTCTGGACTCCCATTAAACTCCACTAACTCTTGAGCAACTGTCAACAGGTGCTCTGCTCATGTTGTACTTGTCTCAGGTTTGATTCAGTTCCGTACACAGATGCCTAATACTAAGTTATTCTCCTAGTGGCTGGTCAGTTGAGTGGTTCCCTAGACTTGCTGGATGCTACAGGAGTTCAGACACTGCTTCTGTAAAATTCTTGCTGTTGCTACCAGATTACAGCTAGCAAGCTAACATGTACAAGGCACTGGTATTCCAAAAACCATGCTGCTTGATTTTCCTGAAGAGAAAGCTAAATGGGATAATTGCCAAGTAGAGGGGAGGTTACCTTGAAACAAAGGACAGTAGGGGCAGGAAAGACAAATTTGACATGCTGAGACTTAGATGCATCATGCAACAGCGAGGGATTGAACATAATGTGACATATACTACAAAATTATTGTTCATATTATGTTCTTAAGGATACGTTTGGAAAGAAGGCAAGCACTGGGATGCAAGCCAGTGCATCAGTTTAAAACTGCACTCCCTTGGGCAGATTAAAGAAATTTTAGGGCTTTTTCTACTACTCAAACTGTGTCATTGCACTAATATGTGATATTTTCATGGGTTTGAGTATTGGCATATTTTCTACCACAAGTGTCTCCTTATGACTGTTCAGGTATCTTTGAGATCCTAACTACATGTTATTGATTCACCCTATAGAGAAATGACAGTGGTTTTTGTTAAGAGCTGTCTGCCTTTAGCAACTGAGGTTGGCCTTTGTAATATTTACCCCTAGACAGAGAATGGAGCAGCACTCAACTAGGTTTGTTTTTTTTCTGGTTGAATGTAGGTGTGCATGCTTGATGACAGTCCAGTTACACGATAGCCAGAATGTGATTAACCAATAGCTATCATGCAAGACTGAACAAAATACCAGAAGCAGGTATTGGACTGTAGTGTCCCAGTATCCCTTAGTTTCACTTATTGGTGCAATGCAGAGCATGGTAAGGGAATAAGTAGACTGGGATTACTGTCTGCAACACTAAACAGAACTGGGTTTTGGTTTGTTTTCCTGTCCTTATCTGCTTGCTTTTTAATTTTGTCATAAATGTAAGCTGACAGAAAAATCCTGTGGTTTTTCTTCTTGCATGTATATTTCTCAGCCCAAAAGATTCTTCATATATGCTGGAAGTTCCAAGTATCTGCAGAAGGCAAATAAGAAATGATAAGGCTTTCTGCTGTTTCTATTTAGAATCCCTTTTCCTTACATATATCTGCTCAGATAAATACTGACTCAGAGAAGACATTTTACCAGTTGTTCATATAAAAATAATTGCAACTAAATGCTTCAAATAATTTTTTTCCTCCCGATAAGAAATATTTTTGAAACATGAAACTGTTAGTTCATGCATTGTGTTGGATTCTTATACCTTACAACAGCATACATAAAGGTGGCTGAAGGGATTTTAAGCCCGTATGCCTGTTCTCCAAATTTCAGTAAGTAAATCAGAGGAATGAAGTTTTGAAAGCAATATAACACTGGTTGTTTCTGTTGCAGGCAGAAGCTGTATTTGCATGCTACAAAAGCCATAACTCTATTCAAAGATGAATGTGTCAGCAAGTACGATACATTTTTGGACAAGGCTGAGGACTGGGCAAGGCAAGCTGTTGATTACTGTTTGGTCATGTTCACTGCATCACTTTTATACAGGAAGCTCCTAAAAGAAACCATTTTTTTCTTTTAGGAAAATGTTTCATACAAGGAAGCAGTTACTGGCTCTCACCAATCAGTGTTTTGATATCAAAGAAGAGGTATCCAAATACCAGGATTATATAAATGAGGTAGAACACTTCAAAATTCTGTAAAGTGTTTGCATAGATAAAACTGTTCCACATTGTTTAGTGTCATTAGTGTTGTTTATAGTGAGTCTTAAATGCAGTCATATTAAAACACAGGCTGCATGGATGTAGTATTCAGACGATAGTAGCTTAGAATCATAGAATCACAGAATGGTTTGGGTTGGAAAGGACCTTAAAGGTCATTTATTTCCATGATGTTGGAGTGGCCTAGAGAGTGGTGTGATTTTTTTGAATCCTGATGAATTTGGAGTTTGGGGGGTTTTGGGTTTTTAGTGGTTTTGGTTTGGTTGGTTGGTTTTTTTTTTTGTGGTTTGGGTTTGTTGTTTTTTTTTTGGGGGGGGTGGGTTTTTTGGGCGTTTGGTGGGGGTTTTTTTGGTAATGTTAGCATTCCCCTCAAAAATATCTGTGCAAATGGGTGTGGGTTCATTGAGAAGTGTTCTCTGTAACTGTTACCATAATGGTATCTGAGCATCTAAAGGATTAACTGAATACTCAGGATTAAATATACTGAAGCATAAAAACACTACTTCCATATGCAGGATGAGGGGATACATGCTCAAGGATGCGTGCCAATGCTGCTGGTACATGAAAGAAGAGGTTTTGTTAAAATTCAGACAGTGACTCCGCAGGATGGAAACTTACCAGAATTACCTCAAAATTGAGAGAATGAAGGCAGTAATATTATTATTATTTATAAAAGAAATAAAAAATGAAAGAAGAGCACCTGATAGGCATAAAGCAATGAAGGAATGGTAGAGAGCAGCATTTTACTTGTTACTGGTTTGTATCTAGTAGCACCACCAAAGTCAGTTATTGACAAATAGATAATTCTTCCTTTTGAGAGTTTATTATAAAAGTATAAGACAGTTAAGAAGATGGAACAAATCGGGAAACTACAGGTCATGTCAATACAAAACTTGTTGTGATGATCTCAACTTGGGGAATATCAGCCACCTTAATACTGTAATGGTCTTATGAGGCGTCACAGCAGTGGAGAATTCAAAGAAGAATTTCAGGGTGGACATCAAGGTATATGTGACAACTTAAAACTTACATTTCCTTTTATCTATTACAGTTACAAGATGCTCTGCCACAGAAAATGTTTGCAGCTTCCAGTGGGATGAAACATACAATGAATACAGTCTATCCTAGCTCAAACACATTAGTGGAAATGACTCTTGGGTGAGAAGTTCTTAATTGGATTGATGCAATATTCTATACCTATTACACAAATATGGTTGACTTAGGGATTGCTGCATTAAGACCAAGAATTTTATATTTCAGAAAAACTTTATATTGCTAAAGTGATGGCAGCACAGACTTGAAAGCGAGTAGGGGACAATACTGATGTATCATTTTAGTAAATAACCAACTCGTTATCTGTTCCTTCTTTTGTATGTAATAAGTTGGTGGAAGCTGTGTGGTGGTGGTGAGTAATCACAGCAGACAACTGTCCCTATAAAAATTTTAACCTTTGTCTGGCTTCTTGTTACTACAGTATGAAGAAACTAAAGGAGGAAATGGAAGGGGTTGTTAAAGAGCTGGCTGAGAACAATCACATTTTGGAAAGGCAAGCAGTTGTTTTCCCTTTTGGGGCTGATACTAGGAGCTGGCTTAATTTGATATATTTTGTAGATCCAGAACTTACATCAAGGGATGATTCTGTAGTCTCTTTTGAACTGCTGATCTGAGGTCTACCCCCCAAAAAAGTATCCAAAGCCTTGAAACATTACTGTAAAATCATACTGACGCAGCATCTGTGGCGTTTTTATGTCGCGTTACTTACATTTGGCTAGAAAAAATATCTGTTGCACAGATTAATTCTGAATTTAAACACAGTGCTGTTGCAGATCCAGTGGCGTCTTTTACCTCCTCACTTTTAAACATATTTTTTAACAACTGTGGAATTGTACCAATCTGAATATATTATTTTGTAGTTTTCAGATTGCTTAAATAAAGTGAGGAGAAAGAGGCCAACATATTTCTTACAATCCTGAGAGGATATTGTTGTTATCACAACTGTTAGACAGACTTGTTGTGCAGACATGTTGTTATACAGACTGACTTTGCTTTTTTTCTGTAAAAGTAATGATCTCCTGAAAGCTTCAGTGAATTGCTGGTAGAGCTGAGTTTGGCGTCAGGTTAAATTGGTTTTGTTTTGTTCCCGAGTCCCATAGTTGGAGCATAACATCCTCTCTTCCATCTTTTCACATATAAAAGTTGGATATAAATGCATGTGTTGGTGCATGGCAAGGAGAAGGAAACCCCATAAATAGATTATAATGAATTAAGAATTCATTCTGTAATCCAGACAATCACCTAAGAATACACTGGTGTGTTTTTCATTTTAGATTTGGTGCTTTGACTGTGGATGGTGGCCTGCGGAACGTGGACTGTATTTAGTGTTCAAAGGACCTGATGAAGAGGACTTGTAAATTTTTTCAAATGGAAAAAGTACTGTTGGGACATTTAAAGGCAGATATTAAATCTATATCCAGGTTTTATTTCCCTCTACAACTGTAGTATTAAAGAAAATGTAAATATGTATAATATGTAAATATAAAAGAAATATCTATCTTTTTTTTTTTTTTGTTAATGTTAGGATAGAATTACTCTTGGCAGGGAGTTGAGCCCCGTGGAGGATCTCTGATGAAGTCCTAAAAGTAAAAATGTTGATGAAATAGGCATTTGTTTGCTTTGAATATTGCCTGTTTTATTCTCAGAATGCAACTCAGTCTTTATTGCAAGAGGACTTGTGGAACTCTGAACGTTATGAATAGCCTTTAAAGGGTGTTTTGGATTTCCTTTAACCACTACTATTAGTTTGGAGTTCAGCTGAATGACTCTGATTGTCACAGAACATGATGGCTCTTTTAAATGAGATCTTTTTAAATAAATGTGAATAGGGACTAAAAGCACAGGTAGGACAGAGTAGAAATGCATTTCTCTTCACATCCAAGTGAAGAGGAAGTTAGTTCACTTCCCCTTGAGAGAACAAATTCATGATGTTTTTTGAAGTTCCTCTCTGTATCTGGTTCTGTGCTGTCTGTGTACATGGAAATTTTGCACTCCACGTTGTCAGACTGGATGTAAAAATTCCTGGTTTAGAGTACAGCATGTCCAGAATTTCCCTGAACTCTTTTTGATCACCACAGTGCCATGGTTTAAGCCCAGACGGCAACCCAGAACCATGCAGCCGCTCACTCACTCCCCCCCCCACTTCTTCCTCCCCCTGCTCCCTGAGGGATGGGGAGGAGAATTGAAAGAATGTAACTCCCACAGGTTGAGATAAGAGCAGTCCAGTAACTAAGGTATAACACAAACCACTGCTGCTACCACCAATAATAATAATGATAAGGGAAATAACAAGGGGAGAGAATACAACTGCTCACCACCCGCCGACTTGATACCCAGCCTGACCCGAGCAGTGATCTTGCTCTTCCAGGTAACTGCCCCCAGTTCTACATCATGGGCATGACGTGCTGTGGTATGGAATACCTCTTTGGTCAGTTTGAATCAGGTGTCCTGTCTCTGCTTCCTTCCAGCTTCCCCTCCTCCCTGGCAGAGCATGAGACTCAGAAAGTCCTTGGTCAGAGTAAACATTACTGAGCAGCAACTAAAAATATCGGTGTTATCAGCGCTGTTCCCAGGCTGAAAGTCAAAAAACAGCACTGCACCAGCTGCTAAGAAGGAGAAAAAATGACTGCTACTGCTGAACCCAGGACAACAGGAAAAGTGGGTTCTCAAAGTAGCTTTTTCAGAGTCCTGTTTGCAGGCATAATCTTTAAAAAGGTTAAAAATTGGTATGAGGAGAATTTGTGGGCAGTCAGGAGACAGGCAGCATCATGCCCCAGTGGAAACTGAAAACTGGAAAAATACTTTATCAGTCTAGATCATGAAAAAGAACAACACTCACTGCTGACTTACAACTGAGATACCCAACTTAGGTGGAAAACTTAGGAAGGCTACTTACATATTTTCCAGTATCAGTTATTTTGCAGTATCAATAGTTACTACTTTCAGTACTACATTACTGGGTTGCAGAGATGCAGAACAAAACAGTCTGCTCCAAAATATGTAGGAGAAGAGGAAAACAAACGGAAACGCAGAAAACATCCCTCACTTTTTTGGAATACTGCAGATGTACTTACTTCTTTCAGACAAAGAGCATGCAAATTATTGCAGGACTCATTCTTTTCTGGTGGAAACCTTGCCAGGGGTGTTCAGTGGTGTCCAGCAGTACTTCTGGTTGCTGTATTACATCTGTTGGAAGGGCTGGACCAATTAGATTGAGAATTTTTCATCCTTAACAGTGAAACATTTAGGAATAAACTGAACAGTGGTAACCTCTGATAGCATCTATTTTGTGATACTGATTCCCTGCTTACCTGTCCAGGTCAGAACAAAAAACATTTTCATTGCTTTTTTAAAAAAAAGTTTGACTAGAAACGTATCAAATTTATAGTTGATTCTTCCATTGTTAAAGGAAGAGGAAATTCACTGCCCTGCCGTCAGAGACCTGCTTTCTAGTGTTCATGATGAGAATCAAATATTAAAAGGGAATTCAGATATGTTTTACACCCACATGAGAGGCTTCATTCTTTGGAAGCTTTGTCCCAAAAAAGTCTAGCTATGCAAGAGGAGTGCAACAGTTTGTTAGGTATTTTTCCTTGGATAGCCATGGAATTCTGAACTGTTTGACATGATTCTGACATTTTAAAACAAACTGGAATGTTTTAATGCCTGTTTGTACACTTGTTCATCCACGTCCACAGTCTCACTGAGTGTCAGTAACACATGCACAAGTGTTAGAAGAATCGTGCTCTCAAATTTGTCAT